TATTTTCATTTTCTTTATCGGTTTCCATTATCCAGATCGCACTTCCCTCTCTTTTTGTGTAGACAACCCGTCACAACCGCGGACGGAAATCAAAATACTGTATTCTTTCGATCACTTTTTGTCCGGTGGCTGCGGCAATATTTTTGCTGGTTTTGTTAACGCGCGCTTTAGTGCTGACAGGAAAGTGCAACTTGTGTATGACTGCGTGATATACTCGTGCTGTACTAAAGTATTGCATATAATTATTATTGCACAATTTCCGGTGGCGCTTTAACCGCCCTTGCACTATAACGGGGTCAGTTAGGACAAAAGCTAAAGACTTTAAAAATTCTAACGACTTTGTATAATCATGTTCTGCCTCGTCCACCATAGATATGAACGTTCTTTGATCCAAGCAACAAAACCTGTTTTGAAATTCTTTTCTCATCATTTAATAATTATGTCATTATGGCTGCGTGCACGGGTAAACACGGGTGTTGGCTGCGTGCACGGGTGATATTTTTGGGTCCGCACGGGTGTTGGCTGCGGGCACGGGATTCCTGCACGGGCGTTGACTGCGTGCACGGGTAAATTATTTAAATTTTTTTAATTTAAATTTAAATGTATATTTTAGTTATTTTTTTACGTATTTACTTCTTATGGAACTTACTCACTTAACCCATAATTTTTCAACGAAAATACAGTTGAGTGTAACTCAGGTACTGTGTAAGTACCTAGTAAGTACTGCAAAATTTGCTGTACATAGTAAGTACTATGTATGTTAACAGCTAATGCTTGTTAGTGCAATGCCATGAAGTACTTGAAGGTCACGGCGCGAAGAGTCGAAGACGTGAGAATCTGTGTAATGTTTTCTTAAATGAGAAATTTTGTAATACGGTACAGCCATTTCTGTGTAATATTGTATTAGCCAGGTGAGAATTTCTGTAACACTGCCATGGCTACCGCGTTCGTTTCGGGATGGATCCTGAAAGGGCCACTTTTGAGCAGGGTCTGATGCGAACACACTTGGTGGCTGCTTATAAAGCATGCAACTGACACCACTTGCATCAAGCCGCGTAGAAAAATTCTGAGCCGTAAAACAAAGTTTCTGTTACTACAGACTGTATTTCGAGACTATGGCACATGAAACAATATGTCAGAAACCGGTCGAGAAACCTGTTGAGGTGAATAAGACCTGGAAACCTATAAATGTTACGACCAGAAATTGAAAATCAAAAAAGAAAATTAACTGAATTGAAAAAGCCGTGCACACAGCCAACACCCGTGCGGACCCAAAAAGTTCACCCGTGCACGCAGCCTACACCCGTGTTTCCCCGTGCACGCAGCATCGACCTTTAATCTTTTATGTTTATTTCAAAAAATTGTTTTAAAAACAGTAACACAAATCAAAGCTAACGCTGGCCCTCATTTCCGGATGACCTGCACGATCGCAATTTACATGTAAACAATACAGCGCAATTTCCGGTGCACTTTTCCATATTAGTGATAATCCACTTTCGAGCGGCACCGGAACAGCGATCGATCAGTTTATTGCCTGCCCCTACTTTGATGTCATTTTGATCCGGTATTTATATCTGGCAGCGTTGTGTGAGCACGTTTTTTGAAGAGGTGGGCAAATCTCACTCGAAAGAAAATCGATACCGACAGAAGACTGGAAAACTGAAAATATCGCTGTGATATAGCGTAGATTGATCAAGACCGAAATCCGGTAGATGCCGCTGTAACACTGCAGCGTACACGTTCCGCACGGTGTTATTAATTTTATCGATCGGTTTCCGCCAAGTGAAAAATTTAGCGTCCCCAGTACCGTCTGAAAATTAGAGGCGAACTTAAAACATTCCTCCGGCGTGTTTCCAGCACACAGCACAGCTACAGCTCAAACATGTTACTGCACGCATGCACCGTCAGATTCAGAGCAGCTGTTAAGTGCAACATTCAAGCACTGTGATTTGTGTTAGTTGCGGATTTTTTGAGTGTTTTTATTGGTCTTGGTGCGCAACAGAAAGTGTTCGGTTATCGGCGTCGTGGAAACCCGAAGCGCCGTCCGTTGCAAGCTGAACAAGGCGCCCGTAAGGCTCCGTACGGTGCATCAGGTTGCTCTTGCGTGGCATAAAAATGTCGACCGGATCAGGAGGGTGCCACCTCTTCCCGCACCCCTTATGATGCTGCTTTAGAACTGCTTCAGACGCTAATTCTTGTTGTTGTGCTCGTATACGATTGGCGGCTCGCCCGTACGAATGGTCGTGTGCTTATCGCCGGTTAGTGTGGTGGACGAGATGTTAGAAAATATGTGAGTTATTGCATTTCGGGTGTACTTTTACTTAACATGCCACTCTATATTGTATACTGCGAGCCGTTTTCTGTGCTATCGATAGTCCTGGATATTTAACGAGCACGGAAAGCCCGCACTGAGGAATCATCTGTCGTATCTCCCAAGGAGTTTTGGAAAGCGTTCATAGACACTCAGTCCCAGTGCAATCCCTTCAATGCATATCCCAATTACTGTGAATCACAGTCATTGGATTATGTATTGGCGGGATTGTGCTTGAACTTTGTTAGTCTATGAATCGTGTTAGTCTTGTCATTGTATGTCTTGTATGTGCATATTTTTGAACATTTGTAAGTCTTTAGTAATAGTAACTAAAAGTAAGTGGACACACTCGCCGCCACATACATCGACCGCTCCTCGGCAAAAGTCGGCGCCGCAGCCTAACATGCAGAGAGAGAGGGAAGCTGGCACAGCACGCCTCGCTGTAACCAAGATATAATTTCTTTTCTGCAGGTCTTTGGGGAGAGGTGGATAAGGTTAGAAACGGTACAGCCACTGCCCACTGGCCCCATTCGGCTTAATGCCAAAAGCAAAACAATTCTTCAGGCAGCGGATCCCTGTGCAAAGACAAAGATGGAATGCGATTTGTGTGATGGGCACAATTCCCGAACAGGATAGCACAGAGGAAGTGTTTCTGATATAAAATGTGTTCTATATAGGAGGAAAAATGAGTCTAGCCGAACCAGTCCCTTGTACTTCTGATGTCAGCCGGCTAGTGTTTTACGTTGTGGCTTTACATAGTGCCTATGTACCGATCCTGATTTAACCGTATGTAGTGCCGTAACGTCACACTCCAGGCGGGTGACGGCAGCAGTACAGGGAACCGGGCCGAGTAGACTTGTTTGTCCCCCTATATTGCCATAATATTGGTACTAAGTTTGTACTTGTATCGTGATACTTACTTTAGTACTTATTGCTTGTAAAGTAAGAAACTACTATGAAAATATTATAATAATTATCTTATGTTTTACAAATAATTGGTATTTATTGCGGATGCTTTGGCAGGGGATTAAAGGTGTCAGTGGCACCTGTCACTGGCAATTGCCACTGGCAGCATAGTGACAAGCGATAAACGTGGCAGGTGCCACCATACTAGAATCCGTCTTAGGTGATCCTGGTCGCGTCCGATCACTTCGGCGGTTTGACCGCATTGTGCAAAGCCGAAACGTGAACGGCCAAAGTGATCGATACCCCGCCCTAGCGACACTACTGATAACACTTCCGGTAACTGACATGACCTGGTGCAGCAAAGCGCCAGAAAGGATCATACCGAACTGTTTCGAGAACAATACGGCTCAGCTGCTACTCGTAGATATTTTTATGTCGACTGTGTGCAGACATAAGGATCGCCTTAGATGTGATTCAAATTTTCTGGCATTATCGATTTTTGTCCCGCTTTATTGCCTGACGAACCCGGTAACGGCGGATGCCACTGCCAGTGGCAACTGATGCCGAAAAATAAAAAAAAACTGCCCATTGAAATTTCCGGGTGACTTTTTTTCTGGAAGCTAGTGTGTGGCTTACACCTAGCGTTCGTAAATCACAAAGACGAAATTAGAAAACAATCATCAAAAAATTATCATACGTAATAATAGTGAAAGTACGTACTTCTGGTAATACGCCTGCTGCTAGTCGCGCGAGCGACTTGCAACCAGTGTTGTGTTTGTCACGTTTTCCGTAACCGATTGAACTGAAAAAAGTGACAGTTATAACTGGTATAGGTCAATTGCATTTGGGTAACCGATGCGCGTCGGGTAACGCAGAAACGGGTAAAAATCTATACATGACTCAGCGAAAAAAATATCGTCCAATCGTAAGGCGAGTACGCTTCCGTGCCAAGAAAGAAATTGAACAATGGAAAAACTGAAGTGGAACTGAAAAATCTGTTTTTGATGCTTTAATGCGGTAAAACGTCAAAAAAGTTGATTCTGAGTTTAGAAGTGTGAATCTGGGTCGCTGGATGCACTTTTGGTTCAAAAAAACAAAAATTTTGTTGATCTGGGCAGGAGAGTTACGAGTTACTCGTAGGTTGGGTAACGGTTGCGCTTCGACGTCGAAGCGCAACGGTTACGCGGACGGGTAAGCTGGAAACCCATCCCAGAATTCTGGTTTACCAATCAAATCGTTTACCTGCTTACGCGCCGTGACGTCATGTTTTTTTACCCGACTGTCACTTGCGCGTCGCGTAATGATTACACAGAGCAATTGACCTATGCCACTAATTATAAAAGCACAGTTATAATAAAAACGCGCTGATACTGCAACTGAGCAAATGGTGCAGTTCTGTAACTTCTGTACACGTCAATCCCTCGTTAGACACCGCCTCCGCATTCGCGACTTCTGTCGGTTACGGCACGCAGGCGGGCGGCTGTCGGGGAAATCGTTTTCTTACTATGGCAAAGTAATTATGTGAGGATGCGAAGAAACCCTGTTCCCGGAACCAGCACGTAGCGCACCACTACCAGTACAGATACATACAAGGGGCATGAAAGCTTGGCTGGACACAAAAGCGTGCTTTTATAATTAGTTACGTATATGTAACTGTCACTTTTTTCAGTTCAATCGGTGTACATCTATGAATTACTATAGGAAACATCAGTTTAATACGCCATGGTCCAGTCTCCATAACCTACTTCAGCCAAGAAAAGGCCACTTGAATGTGTCATAGAATCTCATTATCAACATTTGATTGCTATCACTTTCCGCATTTTTGGCGATTCCCGAGTAACAAAATAACAGCTTCAACAAAAATCGCTGACCTTTCCCGAATAAAACAATAACAGCTTCAACAAAAATTCTTGGCCATTCCCGAGTAAAACATAACTGCCACTCATAAATTCCGAGGTTTATGTACACACAGCGGCCGAACCGTTAACTAATTAGTGGCTCTGCTTAAATGACGTTCAGGTAGGCTTCCTGCATAATCCACTCATCCAGACGATCGTCGATGCGGAACCAGCATTCGTACCAACCGGCGTCGGTCCATTTCACGCTGTGGACCAACATCGTCGCGTTGCACAGACAGGGTTCCCCCTTCCCGAACAGGAAGGTCGCCTTGAAACCAGCCGGCGAGCTGGCTATATCCTTCATCTCCTGGAGGACTCCGCCATCAGCAGGTCCTCTCCCTTGCGCCACAGGAAGCGTGTGGCGAGGTATCCCGGCAGGAAGGTGAAGCGCACCGGGCAGATCATCTCCGCTTTATAGCCGTGACGGACGGTGAGATTCTGCATCGGCGGACTGAAGACCTCGTGGCGGAAGAGGGTGGCGCTGATCCAGTAGCGCTGCGTCACCACCAACTGGCTGCCGTTGGAGTGCAGGCACTCGTACAGGCCGGTGTGGGCGTACGTGAAGTTGAATAACACGATGGAGAACGCACCGCTGAGCGGATCGTACTCGGGCACGTACCAGGAGCGGTTCAGAGAATATTCGCCGGGATTAAACTTCAGCGTGCAGTTGCAGCAGTAGTTCAGTTCACTAAATGATTTCCTGTAGTTCTTCACCGTGGGGACAGGTATCTGCCGTCCGTTGTACGTGAATGCCGGCGGAATCGCGATGTGCGAAACCTGTGCAACGCCCACAATTATTCAAAAATCAGCCTGATCAAAAACGCCAACGGCGAATTCAACTTAAGAAATACAAACCGAAACCGTGCTCAGGCAAAAATTACTCTCACTGGCTCACACTGCGCCAGTTAATTCTTAGCATCGTTTTCGAAATGTTTTCGCTGCGTCCTCGTCAACGCAATACGGAGAAACAAAATTAATGCGAAATTCTTAATTATTGCGAAATGACTGCTTAATGAGAAGTTAGGATCACGAAACAAACACAGCGGTCGATGCTCGGTACCAGTTACAAATGCCTCATTCAGACCTGTGTTTTGTTGGCGTTGTGGCTGTTGTTGCAGGGAATGAGCAGGGTGCCGCCCTCCGGCGCTCGGATGACTTCCGTGTTGGGCGGCCATTCCGCTATGGGAAATCCGAGGGTCCCCGGGCCGCGACCGTGCCCCAGCAGATGCATGGTGCCGTTGCCGTTGCGCTGCTTCGCATCGTTCAAAAGCTGATTCACTGCGAGAACAGCAAATAAATGTTGTCAGTCGTATGGAAAAATTTGCACATGCTAACGATCCTAATATTCCCATAATTTCCACCAGGGACAAGCTGTCTCCATCCTTGGCATGGAACTACAAACACCGAAAAGCTGATCTTATAAGGCATTAATTATTTCGCGTGCTGCTGGATAAGATTTTTATTGAATTTTCCTTGTCGTATTACAGATCTTCGTTTCCGGTTTACAGTTCAATGCCTTAGACTGATACAGGATGGATAGGGTTGCTATGATTTGCATCATCTGTCCGAAACGCCGAAATAAAAAATAGGATCTAATGAAGGCTAAGCAAGTCCTATGGTTTATGAACGTAGAAAAATTAACTGATGGTATACGCAAAAGCTGCAAACCAATGAATCATGACTGCCCATTCTGGCTTTGTGTGAGCCAAGTCCTTACTTGAAAATTAAACGAGGATTTATGGTCATAAGATAACAAAATCATAGCAACGCTGTCAAGAAAAGCAGGTTGCGGCTTTAAAGTCGTCGCCTTCACTCGATGGAGAGTGGAGGGTGGGACACGGGCGAGGCCCGGGGTTCGCCCCCGTCCCTGTCAACACGTGTGCAGTTATAAGTGGGTCTTTTGCACAGCACAGAAGACCATGAAATTTATCGCATAAAAACGGGGAACTTACTTCTGTCGACGCTGAGTCCTTCTTGAACTGGGCAACAAGATGCCAGTTGCAGCACAACCACGCCAATAGCCACCACAAAACCGTACATCATCGAGGATTGGATAGGAATTTTATTAAATATAATTACAAGGTAAATCAGTCCGTGATTCTCGCCTCTGGACTGCAGACTGCCAGTGTGTCATTTTGACGTCACTGACAAACAGGGATTTACAGCACGCCAACAGGAGGACTACGCATGCGCTCTGTTTTTGGTCGTACGCTAAAATTTAAGGCGGTACAGTGTACACCAATACCTTGGCCATAGAGCTATAGCACAATTCAAAAATACTATAAGAATTTTTATCACACACTTTTTCCTCGTTTGCCGAGGATGGTTTTCAGTGAATTTTCATGTACCTGCCCAGTTAACAAGCAGTACAGTTTGCGAACGCGCGCTGTTTCAAAAGTGCCGAGATAAGCACTACTGTCTATGGGCCTACGATGATTTCCCGTCGCACTTGAGTCGCACGGCTCCCAACCGCCGCAGGGCGCCATTCGGGCGAGAATCGTTAGTTCTATAATTCTGCCGTTATTATAACTACATTTTCATTATGATTATTTTCATTATAATTATATAAGATAGCACCACACTTTCGGAAAAGTCACTCTAGCGACTGGCAGGAATAAAGGGAGGCTCGTTGGAATGCGATCGCCGCTTTTTTAACATTTTTGTGGAAACTAGTAGTAGAGTGCCGAAATGGATAGAGGAAGAACAAAGCATCTAAGGGCTTGCGCCATCGCGCAGCACATTTGAACTACAAGCACACCAGAGTTGAGCACAAATTTGTCTCTCGGCACGAAGTGCTCTTGCAGTTCTGCTGTGCTCCAGTTCCACAAATAAGGAATATCGGCAAATAACGGCCTAAGCAGCACACTGGTGAACCTCGCTCTCGCGAATTCCTTCGCCATTTTCCAACACCTGTTGATATCTATTTATTGGGCAAAGGCCATCAATATAACAAAAAGTGCATTCGCGTAACACTACTCAAAATGATACAAATTCAAACGTTAAAAAAACAGCCAAAATCGTTATCGCCGTCGAAAATCCTAGGACGAACATTCAATGTGCCCAAAACAGCAGCAGCATTTCCTTTCACTACAGCTAGACTTAATCTCTGCTTCAAAAATGCAGTAGAACGAGGTTCCCCTGTCACGTCGCGAATCTTTCTGCCAGCGAAACGAATAAGCTCCATAAAATCCGAACCGAATGTGCCGAAAGTTTCGACTGCCAAGGCGACAAACAGGTAACCCATCCTTTTCACGTAAGCGTATTTACGGCGTTTACAGTCTTCGGCCATATGTGCAACGCTACCGGATGCACTCGCACTTGCCCGGACATGCGATGCGGCTACCGTCTCCCAGCATGTAGCGTCCCATACCAGCGCCTTACCATCCCGTACCGGCACGAGGGTCATGCCATCTGGCCGCGTGTTATCTTTGCCTGACAGTCCGAGTGGCTCGCTTTGACATGGATACCCGGCATGTTCCAAAGCCCCGCTTTGTTTCGGCATTTAGTTCGGTATGCCTAGACCATCTGCCTCTGCTGCTGGAACAAGAAAGGCCGTGGTGGCCGTTCGTTTCTACATGGCTTCCGCAGTTCACACAATCGTGTTCTTCTACTGCTGGAAGTTCAAAACGAAGCGCCACGCCGATTCGTACTTCTCCGTCCCGCAAGAATGTACGCAGATTTGGAGCAGGCAACGCATTTAGCCATGCGCCCGAGTCGCGATGTGACGCCGCTAACAGCACCGCTCGATTTGTTTCGTCGGTAGTGGCCAGCCTCATTGACGACACAGCTTCATCAATTGTCGGTCGATCCCATGCAAACTGGAACTTGCGTTGTTCCGTAACAGAAGGTTCACACTTTGACTCTTCCATCCAGCGCTGCACAACAGGGTCGAGAAGTCCTTCCGTCACAGGGTGATAGATTTGTGAGACCAGAGATGTTACCGAGTACGCCGATGCCAAAGGCAGGAAACACTAGCGACTTGGCACTCCGCAGTCCCATTCCTCCGTCCCTGATAGGAAGCGTCATCTGACTCCACTGTGTATCGTTCACGCGGATATTCAAAATTGACTGCAAACCGGCACGGGCAATGTTATCAATGGTTTCGGTTAGTGCCACGTGTTCGTAGCATCTGCCTGTACGAAACCCATAAAGTAACTCTGGTATGAGCAGACAGTTTTAAGGAGGTACAGGCTATAATGTACTGGGATGACTTTCAGCCGCGATACGAAATACTCCAGTTGCAGAGATTTACTTCGCAGGAAAACTTCACATGCTGTTGATTTTAAAGGCGCACCGAGGAGCACGAATTCATCTTCTTTCGTAATGACCATTTCGGGAAAAGCGTTGAGCACTAACTGAACAGCATGCAGACGGTCCGCACTGAATTGTCCCTGTTGATTGACATACAATGGGTCACCGCGGTATCCGCCCTCGGGAGCATGGACAGAAAGGATAATTTTAAATAGATTTGTTGTTGTTTTAATTATTAGCTCTGTTAGTTACAAAATTTGCTCAATGTGACTGGCTTGTGCTAGTGAACCGCCCGCATCTATGCGTGCAGATGTTACATCGACCAATAGAACAATTCGAAAAGCATTGAATCGAGTGCAACTGATATGCTTGCAGTCGCCAACAAGGGCGGTTGTTCAGGCTGCATTTTCAACTAGCCGCCGAGCAGCCGGCTGTCGGAATATGGTACAGAAGTCTAAGGGATGCCGGAATAAGAGGTTTATCGCAGTACGGAGCCTAAACCATGTGAGATCTAAAATTCCCTATTATCCGGTGCAGCTTACCAGGTGTGTGTACGGTGTACCATGTACAAATGATGAGCGGCGTTTAACTTTGACCCAGACGCACAGTCCATGTGTTGATGCGCTTACCTTGAGCTTAAAACAATCGCTCATTTACAGTTAGTAGCCCCCTTTGCACGCAGTTAGTAAGCATTAATAAACAATTTTAAGAAGCAGCATTTGTAAGGAATTTTACAACAATTCGCAGTTGATTTTCGGGAAACATTCTTTTATGGGGCTTAACTAGCAATCCAGATTGTAGCAGGCAGTGTTGTAGGAAAACTTGTTCCCGGCCTGGGTGTTTCTCCAGTTGAAATCCAAAGCACAGTTGACACTGAGGACCGGCGGCCATTGATGCTGGAACAAGTCGACATTTTCTAGATCCCGACGTGTGAGTGCCGTCACATTAGCGGAACTTCCAGGAGCCCGGATATTGCTCTCCGGCAGCTTGAAACTACCAACCGTCAGAAGGTTGCCTGCATTCCTCGCCGCCGTCAAGTACGGTTTCTTCTTCAGGAAATTCCGGAACCAGGCGAATGAACAGTCACAGTGCAGGCGGCGAGCGCGCTCGAAGAAGTAATCGGGCAAGCTGCCGCGAGCAAGGGCGTGGCCGTGATCCTTCACGGCGCTTGTATACAGGACATCAACAATTTGGGCTTCCAGCGTTAGAATCTGTAGATTATTCAGATCGGTGAAGGTGTACGGCTCCATTTCGGCTATGGTAGTAGCGGAAATAAACTGGATGACACGCACTTGCGGCATCCCCGAAAAGTCGGCCTTTCTGATAATCAAACCCTGACAATCTAAACCTAACTGGAAATGTAACAAGTTCGGCAGCGGTCCCATGGCATACACTTTCGCCGTGATATTTGGCGATGTGCAGTAAAACGTGGACAACTGAATCACCTGGTTTCGTACTGGTTCGATGACATCCTTGTGAATGGCCAGCCGTTGGTCGTCTGCGTGGTCGTAAAGGGCGATCGTTAGTGCTCGCGTGGGGCTCATTCCACCGAGGGCTTTCGTTATTACTGTCATATGCTTCCGAGTTTTCCAAATACAGTCGAAATCAATGTAGGTCTTCTCAATGCTGGATCCCCAAGGATGCGCTCGAATTTCGCTATCGGTTGCATTGTGGCAATTATCGAATTCGTAGACTGTGCCGAACATTGTTGGGATGCAGCTTGTTTCCGGGACGAAGCGCAGACAGAATTCTGCTCTGGTGAGTCCATCCGTGCGGAACGGAAAGGCTGCAGTTGGTGGTACTCGTTTGGTCTGGATGACCGCCGGCTCGCTACATTCGCTTTCTAAGTCATCCACCAAACCTGCAAATGCAAAAGGGAACCGGAGCTTGTTTCGTTTCGAGCGTAAATTTGAAATTAACTTTCAAATCCTTACATTCTACGAACGAGGGATCTTGCAGAATCAGAAGTATGATCAGCGAGAACAGAGTAAGACACGGATGCTTCTTATGGACACAGCGATTATCCGAGTGCATTTTGATTTATTATGAAGCCGTACCTTGTTAATATGCGGTTTAACCTGGTCCACTGTTTCTGTAACTTCCGAGTGCCTGCCTGTATGGGAATTATCTAGCAACTGCAAGCGTTTGTTTCGAAGATCTGTTACCAAGATAACCAACCGGAGCAGCTGCAACTTTCACGAGCTACGACAGTGATTGCATCAGGTTGTGATAAGTCGATATTTTCCCAGCCACGCGTAGATCTGCCAGCAAAGATTTAGAATTACATAACGTACTGGCATAATATACGTACGACTATATCGCGGATGGAAGCACGAACCTGCACAGTGCACACACCAACAGCAAAGAAATAAATCCAATATACTATATGTATACGGATGATATAATTTAGGAAGGTAAGGTGCCTATAGTTTTATCTCAACAGGGGGTGCGAGCATTAAATTACCGAATGATGATGCCCATAGCAAAACTGGGCGCAAAAGGGAGTGAACATAGACATTTCGTTTTCTTATTCCTCTCTCATATTCTAGTAGGCGTCAGTATTGCACAAACAAATCTTTAAAATTAATGAAATAATTTTGATGCTAAGTGTATTTATACAAGAGAGCCGCTTCAAGCGATCCTCTGTTTTCTGATCCAGTTTAGTGCAAAACGGCAACATAACATTCCATTCAAACGGTTATTTGCAATGTAATCCAACCATGCTTCACAAGTGCTCACGAACAATTCGGTGAATTTTAACGGCTGTGGTTAAATAACGTTCAGGTAGGCTTCCTGCACGATCCACTCATCGAGACGATCGTCGATACGGAACCAGCATTCGTACCAACCGGCGTCGGTCCATTTCACGCTGTGGATCAACATCGTCGCGTTGCACATGCAGGGTTCTTCTCCCTTGCCGAACAAGAAGAGAGCCTCGAAACCAAAAGGCGAGCGGGCTTTATCCTTGACCCCCGGGATAGAATCCGCCATCAAAAGGTCCTCTCCCTTGCGCCACAGGAAGCGCGTGGCGAGGTATCCCGGCAAGAAGGTGAATCGCACCGGGCAGACCATCTCCGCTTTGTCGCCGTGGCGGACGGTGAGGTTCTGCATCGGCGGATTGAAGACGTTGTGTCGGAAGAGGGTGGCGCTGACCCAGTATCGCTGCGTCACCACCCGCTGGCTGCCGTTGGAGTGCAGGCACTCGTACAGGCCGGTGTGGGCGTACGTGAAGTCGGCTAACAGGATGGAGAACGCACCGCTGCTTGGATCATACTCGGGCACGTACCAGCTACTGTTCAGAATATAATTCCCGTGATTAAATTTCAGTGTGCAATTGCAGCAATAATTCACTTCTTGAAACGGATATTTTCTGGATGTTTCCACCGTGGGGACCGGCAACTGCCATCCGTTGTACGTGAATGCCGGCGGAATCGCGACGTGCGACACCTGTGCAACGCCGACAATTGTTCAAAAGTCAGCCTGATCAAAAACACAAACGGCGAATTCAACTTAAGAAATACAAACCGAAACTGTGCTCACCCGCTGGCTCACACTGCGCCAGTTAATTACTAGCATTGATTTGGAAATGTTTTCGCTGCGTGAAGTCAATGCAATACGGACAGACCAAATTATTGCGCAATTATTAATTACAGCGAAATTACTGCTTAATGAGAAATCAAGATCACGAACCAAACACAGCGGTCGATACTCGATACCAGTTACACATGCTTCACTCAGACCTGTGCTTTGTTGGCGTTGTGGCTGTTGTTGCAGGGAATGAGCAGTGTGCCGCCCTCCGGCGCTCGGATGACTTCCGTGTTGGGCGGCCATTCCGCTACGGGGAATCTGAGGTTCCCGGGCCGCGACCGTGCCCAAGCAGATGGACAGTGCCGTTGCCACTGCGCTGCTTGGCATGATTCAGTATCTGATTCACTACCAGAACAGCAAATAAATATTGTCATTCGTATGGAAAAATTTGCACATGTTAACGATCCTCATGTTTTGACGATTTCCCCAGGTACGAGCACTTTCCATCCTTAGCATGGAATTACAAATGCTGATAGGCTGGTTTGATTTAATAGTCTAGTTCGCGTGCCACGTTCATAAGATTTTTGTTGAATTTTCCTTGTCGTATAACAGATCTTAGTTTCCGGTTTACAATTGCCTTTATATGGCACTGCGAGACTGATACCGGATGGATAGGGTTGTTATGATTTGCATCATCTGTGAGAACGCCGAAATAAAAGTCCTTCTGAGTAACACATCGTTTCACGGTTTCACTGACCGACAAGCTTTTGCCCCACAATTCGCTTTCCTGCTAAATTGCTGAACGACGTTTTGCCGAAACATTTTTGTTGACCGACAACTTGCTGCTCGCTTCGATTCGTTGGTTTTTGAAATTACTCAAGTTATTAGTGCTTTTTCGTAGGTATCTTAGGGTTCTTAGGTTTCTTAAGATTATCAGATTTCTTAAGATTCTTAGGTTTCTTAAGATTCTTAAGTTTCTTTGATTTCTTAGGTTATTCTTAGGTTTCTTAAGATTCTTAGGTTTCTTTGATTTCTTAGGTGTTTCGGGTTTTTCAAGTCAACAAAATGTCGTCAGCAAATTTCCCGTGTTCGGCAAACGGTCGTTCAGCAATTTGTCGTTTCAGGCTTTCAGCAAACCCTCGGGTCAGCGTTTTGTCGCAGGAGGCTGGTCAGCAAACTGTCGGAATGCCTCCTTCTGCCTATGAACGTAGAAAAATCAACCGATGTTAGGCAAAAGTCCATGACTGCCCATTCTGTGCAAAAAGCCTTTACTTGAAAGTTAAACGAGGATTTATTGTCAAAGGATAACAAAATCACAGCAGCGCTGTCAAGAAAACGATGTTGTGGCTTGAAGGTTGTCGCCTGCACTCGACTGCGGAGTGGGGTGCTTGACACGGGCCAGGCCCGGGGTTCACCCCCGTCCCTGTTAACAGGTGCCCAGTCCCAGGTGCATCTTTTGCACGGCACAGAAGATTACACAATTTATTCCACAAACCCTGGATGATAACTGCGGGGAACTTACTTCTGTCGATACTAAGTCCTTCTTGAACTGGGCAACATGATGCCAACTGCAGCACAACTACGCCAATAGCCACCACAAGACGATACATCATCAAGGATTGAATAGGAACTTTAAAATGAGTCGATTCTACAATTCTGTCGTTATAATCAAATTTCCAATAAAATTATTTTCATTATAAGATTTTACTACACTGTCTGAAAATTCACTCTGGCAGGACTGACCGTACACTCGTTGGATTGTGGTTTCGCCGTTTTTTGGATTTGTGTGGCAAGGCTAGTAATAAAATGTAGTGGACAGATGGTACTTGGCTGAGCCGTGTCGCCTCAATGGAACCGAGCGCAGCGAATTTTGCACAAACTGTCTCTCGCCACAAAGCGCTCGTGTAAATCACTGTAAAATATGTTCCACAAATCCAAAACCACCTCCCTGTGGTACTGGAAACACGCGATCGGTGCACAATTGCGCTCACCGACAGTTCGTCTACTAATATCACGCTGTCGATCGACACAATGGCGACGATTCATAAAACAAAAAATAAAAAACATAATTATTCTGTATTTTTGTTAGGTTTATGTTATGTTGTTTGATTCGCTACTTTAAACTGTGGTGTTGCCGCGTTTTGTGAAAATAATAAAAATGCGGAACCGAAAACACAAGAAAACATAAAAAATTATAAGAAAATAAAGAAAACATAAGAAACTTAAGAAACTAAGACGGTTTACCTAAACACTAGCTGGACGTCGTGACGGTTCGACATAGTGTCTGTTCGACGAGTTACTATCGACGGCATAGTTAAATCTTCACACAAAGGTTCACACGGCGCCGAAACCTTTGTGTGAAGAGTTTTACCAGGCTGGTTCCCATTCGAAGCTGATTCTCCGTAATTCGGCGACTTGTTTTCTGGTTCTCCACCGTTGGATAGACTGGATGCAAGAGGGTAATAAGCCTTAGAACCGTAATAAGGATTAATACCTATCTGCGACCAGTCAGCCAGCCGTTGATTGCACAAGAACCTTTTCCCAAAATGTTTCCGGTGCGTTATGACAAGCAATCGTGACCGTACCCGGAGCCAGCGATGAATTTGCCGGGTATTCACACGTAAATTGAGTGCATCTGTAATAGACGCTGCTTGTAGCCGTGTACGTTAGCACACTACCCGGTCTGCGTGCTTATTATATACTGCTGTTATTTGCCATAAATATGTACAGCTTTTCTCCTTGTGGCTGTTTTTACTGCGGCGCAGCTTTTACTCCCGGCTCCCAGGCCGCAGCAGTGTTTTTTTGTGTTATAAGTAAGTTTTTGCCATCTATTATGCCGTATTAAGTTCACAGGTGGACCTTTAATAAGTATCACGTGAAAGTACAAGCTAAGTACTGTACCAGAAAACATAAGTTTTGATGATGCATACGAGACAGCGGCAGCTACTGCTCCTTAGGGGTGAACTGCCATTCACGCACCCTGATGTTAGGGGGCCAGTTGTCTGCCGTGAACATTTTTTCACACTCACTGGCGTAAGAACCAACACGTTCACGTGTATGTTCACGTGTATGTTATTAAGTTCACGAGTATGTTATTGTCTCAGTCAATATTAACTATTTATTAATAACTGTTAAAAATGTTTTAATAATTACACCAATTCCTTAGGTTTCTTAGGTTTCTTAGGTTTCTTAGGTTTCTTAGGTTTCTTAGGTTTCTTAGGTTTCTTAGGTTTCTTAGGTTTCTTAAGTTTCTTAGGTTTCTTAAGTTTCTTAGGTTTCTTAGGTTTCTTAGGTTTCTTAAGTTTCTCAGGTTTCCTAGGTTTCTCAGGTTTCTTAGGTTATATAGTTTTCTTCTGTTTCTTAGATTTTTTATGAAATTCACTCGTACGCGCTCCAGCAGAAAAAAAGAGAAATGGACGACTGGAATTGTCAGATTGCTGCATAAGCCGGCAGCTGTTGATAGCAGCAGAAGTGGTTGTGGTACCCGATCACCCAAATTGAGTTTTACAAGTATCTAATGGGTAACAGACTAGATTTGTGGTCAGCGAGTTGTCGGTATTTCC